AAACTCGTCTCCTGCCAGGGAAGCAGCACCTTTTGGGACGGGCTCTGAGCAATTGCATGCTTCGGGGAAGGAGCTTCCCTGGCAGGAGCCGAGTTTGCAAGCCTCGTTGGCAAGCCGTGAAAACCGAAGTTTCGGAGGGTTCCCTCCTGATGCGGAGCTGCAGTGCCTGGCCCTGGGCTGACGAGGGAAGGGGTGTGGGAGGGTATCCTGTGCCTTAAAAGTTCTCAAGGACAGGCTCGGGGCCAGCCCTCTTTCCCCGGCCGTAGGAGAAGGGAAGGTGCAGGCTCTCCTCCCGGGCGGGCAGGCGAGCAAAACCCCAAAAGCAGGAGGGAATCCTCCGGACCTCTGGTTTTCTCGGCTTGCCAACGAGGCTTGCAAACTCGTCTCCTGCCAGGGAAGCAGCACCTTTTGGGACGGGCTCTGAGCAATTGCATGCTTCGGGGAAGGAGCTTCCCTGGCAGGAGCCGAGTTTGCAAGCCTCGTTGGCAAGCTGTGAAAACCGAAGTTTCGGAGGGTTCCCTCCTGATGCGGAGCTGCAGTGCCTGGCCCTGGGCTGACGAGGGAAGGAGTGTGGGGGGGTATCCTGTGCCTTAAAAGTTCTCCAGGACAGGCTCGGGGCCAGCCCTCTTTCCCCGGCCGTAGGAGAAGGGAAGGCGCAGGCTCTCCTCCCGGGCGGGCAGGCGAGCAAAACCCCAAAAGCAGGAGGGAATCCTCCGGACCTTCGGTTTTCTCGGCTTGCCGAGGCTTGCAAACTCGTCTCCTGCCAGGGAAGCAGCACCTTTTGGGACGGGCTCTGAGCAATTGCATGCTTCGGGGAAGGAGCTTCCCTGGCAGGAGCCGAGTTTGCAAGCCTCGTTGGCAAGCCGTGAAAACCGAAGTTTCGGAGGGTTCCCTCCTGATGCGGAGCTGCAGTGCCTGGCCTTGGGCTGACGAGGGAAGGGGTGTGGGGGGGTATCCTGTGCCTTAAAAGTTCTCCAGGACAGGCTCGGGGCCAGCCCTCTTTCCCCGACCGTAGGAGAAGGGAAGGCGCAGGCTCTCCTCCCGGGCGGGCAGGCGAGCAAAACCCCGAAAGCAGGAGGGAATCCTCCGGACCTTCGTTTTCCCGGCTTGCCAACGAGGCATGCAAACTCGGCTCCTGCCAGGGAAGCTCCTTCCCTGGCAGGAGCCGAGTTTGCACTGAAGCCACTGAGCAAATGTGGGAGTCTGTCGTTGGCAACATTACAAGCCGATGCTGAGGCTTCAAGTCAGTTGCACCCATTTAACCCACACATACCGGTAACTGCCGCCCAGGATCAACTCCTTAAGCTGAGGCCCCTTTTTCGCCGCTGGAAACATGCCGCATTAGCTGGCACCGCAGGGGGTGGTCCCATGGCAACGCTAACAGTCCGGGCCGTGCGCCACCGGNCCCCCCCCTCCCGTCTATGTCGACCCCTTAGTTCCTTAGTTGACCCGAGTATAAGCCGAGGGGGGCATTTTTCAGCCCCAAAAATGGGCTGAAAACCTCGGCTTATACTCGAGTATATACGGTAAATCACCACATAGCCCCACACAAATAGAACTAAGCAGAAATGGCCATTCAAAATTCTGCATCAAGTTTATGGGCATAGAAATTAGGTGGGGGATTATTCCTAATTTCTTCTGGGAAAGAAGTTATTGAACACAAGATTCTGATAGTGGTAAAAATATCGCTGCTGTTGAAACTCTTTTACAATTTCTTCCATTTGAATTTCATTTAAGCATGGGAATCTAAGGAGCCTTCAGGCAAATAAGAGATGATTGTACAATAAAAGACAAGATATTCACACACACAAATAACACATCCTGACCACCTTATAATTAAATAACAACCCCAGATTCTACCCAGGAACATTTATCTAAAAGTATTTTTTTCCTCAAAGTATTTCTGACGCAAATTCTCTTTCATCATACGAACCATAAGAATTGGTAGGAAAAAATGCAGTGTTTTTTTTTTATTATTCCAGAGTGCAACTCCCCTCCCCCACTTTTTCATATCCTTTTAATATCCATAATAACTCTTTTATTTTTATTTATTTATTAAATTTGCTTGTGGCCCATGTCGCTGCAAGATGACTCTGGGTGGCTTACAAGGTTAAAAACAATAAAATGATACATACATGCATACATAGTAGCAATACAAATTTAATTATGATTAAAATTATGGTAAAAAGATGAGGGAGGAAACGGTGTACATGAGGTGAGGTGGGATCTGCTATTGGCCCATAAGCCACCTCCACATGATATTCCCCCATTGGGGCTTCAAGCCTTGCTTGCAAAGGAAATAAAATCTCCATCAGTAACGTACTTGTTGCTTTGGAACCTATTGTTATGCCAAACTTGGGGCTGGGGCTGTTTTAAATACAAACTCTTCCTTTACTCAGCCAACACTTAAAAATAATCTAATTACCATGTGCCCTTTTAAAAATTCTAATATGAAACTAGCTACAGATCAAGGAAGTAGATCTTTCTCTGTCTCTCAAATTCATTTCCATTACCCAGTGCTGCCATCAATCTGTGCATCAACGCTTAATTTAGAATTTGCAGGATGGATACAAACAATGAGAACAGTAGACGCCAGGAGGTTAATACATATTGAAAAAGATTTATTAAGGAATTGTCCCTGATCAGCATTAAAGACTATTAGAGCATCAGATGAATACAACCCCAAACAGCCAGGTAAACCCAAAGGGCATGACTCACAAGGAAGCTAGGAAAAAGGAATAAATCTTACAGCCCTTTTTTTCCCCCACTCTGCTCTTCGGAATCCTGATTTCAGTTCTGGGATAACTAGCAAGGGGAAATTGTGTAATTCCACACACTGGAGAGAGGGGATTACAAGAGAGTAAGCAAACCCACAATAGAGAACATACATTGAAAAAAAAAACCTTAGTGTCAATTGTTGGCTTAACTTATAGGCAAGCTTTGACCCTTGAACAACTAGGAAGCAAAAAAAAGTCTTTAGAATGAAACTGATTAAGGTCTTGCCAGTTTCAGATAACAGGGCCAGCTGAGAGAGGGTGTTAATCAATTAATGAAGGTCACAGAGCTGAGCTTGTTAACCCACCCTTAGCACCTTTTAAGGCTGGGATGAAAAGCAGTTTAGGAGATAGCTTATTTAAGCAATCTTTGCAAGGAGAAAAATTCTGCAAGGATGGGGAGGAAAAAATATGGGTCAGATTGTCAGGCATAGGCCATCCAGCAAAGTCAGATCTCCAGTTGTACATGTTTAATCACTTCCTTACAGGAAATAGTCTTGCAAATTTTACAACATTGCCTTTATTAATTGTATTCCAATTAAAATGTATAGCTCAAAACATATTTCTCTCAATCTTAGAATCTGAAAAGGGTAAAAACATTTCTTCTAACTTGCTTAATGTTTGCAGAGAGTTTTTTTTTCTTTTGGTGCCTTAAAGCCACTGTTGACTCCTGGCAATTACCCAGGCCAAGTGCCTGCAGTTTTCTTGGCAAGATTTTTGGAAGTGGTATGCCCTTGCCTCCTTCCTAGGGTTGAGGGAGAGGGACTGGCCTGAATTCATTCAACTGGCTTTCTATTTCATAGGCATTTTTTTTCTTAATTTGCACCATGGTTTGAGTTGTTCCTGTTGAAAAAAGAACCTAAATCTTGAAGGACTTACAATACCAGTTCAAGAATATTTTAAATTTCATGCAAGCCCTATAATACCATAAAGTGCTTTTCCTGATTTCTCTCTATTGTCTTCCCCTTTCTTGCCTCAAATTCTTGTGAAAACAGAAAATGTTACTGGTGAATCAGGTAATTATTGATCTGATCACCAAATTGTCCAATCCTCTTCTGTTCCCAAAGGCAGTCCATGGAATGTGCAACCCCAGCTCCAGTGCTCAGCTAAGGTGGATACTTGTGATGAAGATGAAAGGGGGGCTCAAGAAACTTTCATCTATCAGCCACCGTACCCAAAACACAGGAGCCAAGCATCCTCACAGGAAAATGTAAATCACTCTGGAAATCAGGTAAATTAGATACTGGGTAACTTTTACGCTTATATCCCAGATTTTTCTATTTTGGAGAGTTTGTTATAGGAACTATAGTAAGACTCAAAACAATAGGACACCAAGGTGAAGAAAATAGGGAATAGTAGAACAAAACAATTACAGATAGTAGATAGTCCTCAAGTTAAAACCACAATTGGGACCAGTATTTCCACTGATAAGCCAGGTAGTGGTTAAGGTGAGTTGTGTCCAGTTTTATTACCTTTTTTTTTGCCACAAGCAAAGCTGATGATACTGTTTTAGTGACTGGAAATGGGAAATATTTAAGGAACCCTAGTTAAAGATGAAAGACAAAGTACAAAACCAACCTGATGCTCAGTATCACATAATAAAACCAACTTTGTCAACAGTTCAGTGCAAATATAAGTAGTCCTCGACTTATGACAAGATGCTTAGCAACTGTTCCAAGTTACAAAGGCCGCACACAGACATGCCATGGTCATATGATCAAGTTTTGGGCCCTTGGCAACTGACTCACCTTTATGGCCATTTGCAGTGTCTCATTGTCTTTTTTGTTAGTTTCTGGCATTTACTTCCAGTTTCTGACAAAAAATACCCATTGGGGAAATTGATTTCTTTAACAAACACTGCAAAAATTGTCAAAACATTACATGTGATACTTCAACATGTAACCACAATGATTTACAGAACATAATTCTAGGCTTAGTTACCGTCATTAGTTGAAGAATACCTGTACAATAATTGTAAAAGTAGTTGAAGTAGTAACAAATGTCATCTAACTGGGCTCAAAAATTCAAAAGGAAGCTAACTATAATATGTACAGATATTATATTCCCAACAAAGATATGTATTACCAAGGCCATGATTGTTTTCTCAGCATGCTTATTCAATATTACGTTCATAATATTTTTTTCATATATGGAAAAATGTGGAAATACAGTTTGCTCTTGATTTACAACAGACTTGTGACCTTCTGTGCTGGCTTCCTTGTTGACTTTCTGGAGAAGCCAACAGGGAAAGCTGCAAATGGCAATCATGTGCAACCGTTCTGATGCTGCGACTGATCATAAGTATGAACCGGTGGCCAAGAGCCCAGACCATGATCACATGACCATGAAGTTGCTGGGATGGACAGAACTCGGAGGACCAGTCGTAACCAAGATTTGTTTGGTGTTGTACCTTTGAACTGTCACTGAACAAATGATCATAGCTCGAGGACTACCTATATAAAAATTCATTGATTGGTTGAGTCCAAGCCATTGTTTTACAGACAATGCTAACAGAAAGTATGTTTCTCAGCCACATAAAGAATTAAATAATTTCTGGTGCTTCTGTTCATCACTCAGATGACAATTTTTTTATATGTTCAGAGACAAAGAATACAGTTCATAGATTGAAATGGGTACAAGCTATAAAATATTTCATCAGACTTAATATTAATCTCTTTGGTATTCAGTTATTTGTTAAATTTTAATGACAATGCATAACTATATTGTAATTAATCTGCAAGGAAACAGAACATAGATTTAATTGATCAATAAAACTACAAGGTACAAAATAAATCTAGTATTTTATTGAAACTACAGGAAATAATCTGCTTTCATTCTGAATACAACCCAAACTAGAAATGAGATGCAGAATATATTTGTAAACTAACTTTTAGAGTCAGTATACATTTAAGTGAATAGTAGCTCAGTGCCATGGAACCAACTCAACTCATATTTTCCATTGTTATTTTCCATTGTAAAATTAAATTTACAAGTTCTATGCAGTGCCAGTGTAATATTATACAATGTTTATTAATTTGCCCACATATGAATCGCAGCTTGCATATGTTAAGATTTCAGAAGTTACAGCTGGTCCAGAATGTGACTGCATAAGCAGTTATAGGTACACATCTTTATTCTAGGCTACACTAATTACTAGTAGGTTTCCAGGATCAGCTCAATGTGCTGGTTATCATATATGAAGCTCTAAATCAGGCACGTCAAACTCACGACATCACATGACGTCACGTGACATATCGTGACTTTTTCCCCCATTGCCGGCAATGGGGTGGGTGCGGTTTCAGCGTGATGCATCCGGCCCAGTTTGACATGCCTGCTCTATATGGTTCAGAGCTTGGTTATATATGGGATCACCTTTTTCTTCCACTGCCTCTGTTTAGCCTATAAGTCCTGACAGGGTAATCCGTGCCATCTTGTGGGATCCTGGAGGCCTTCTGGAATATCATTCTCTCAGAGATGCATTCAACACTATACTACTTTGCTTTAGAAATTTATTGAAAATTTGACTTTTCAAAAAGGATATGAGCTGAGGTATTTTGTAATTCTGCATTGGGGAGGTATGGCTGAAATAGTTTTTATGTGCTTTTCCATAGTGTCATTTCATTTCTACACCTTTTTTATTTATGAATGTTTTATTGAGTTTTTAATGTAAGTTGCCCTGGCTCTTTCTGACTTGGAACCCTACCAGTCAAACAAATCAATAAAAGGAGATCAGTGAAATGGGATGGAGAACTCCATTTCTAACTCTTAATCTAGTGCTAGTGGCAAATTCTATTCTGGAACTAACAGCTCTTTGAGAATATACCAAATTCCATCTTTGCTCTTTTCTACTCATAAAAACACACCATATTTCATATTTTCTTTTTTCCCACAAGTCCATGGATTTTTTATAGAAATGCTCATTTTGTAGAAGTCATTAATTTTACAAGTTTTGTAGTTTTCTCCATGTGGCTTACTATGGGGAGAGCATCTTGAATAGGAGCATGATTTTGGACTAGAAAAGTGGAGCCTCTTGAAAAAAATCTTTCCTCCCCCAGTTACAATACAGTAGCCCATAAAGATTGGTTATTAATCTTTATGTTTTAATTTAATCAAATTAGGGAATTCATTTCTCCTAGAAAGAGAAAAGAAAAAATATTTCTCTGCATAGAGATATGAAGCAACTTTGAGGAAAAGTTTATTCAACAAAGATAACAAGTTTGTTTTAATAAAAATTATCAAAAAAAAATCATAATTCAATTTTTTTTATTCTACGGTCCAAAGATCTCCTGAGATTAGTTATCATATATATTTTAAGCATTATTTGCTTAAAATAGCCAACTGAATGAGAACATGTTTTTGACATGAACATAATTGCACTGAAATATGAAAAGTTCTACAAAGTATATGATCTTTTTCATGAATTTATTTGAGCACACATTAGCTGTGATACAAATGACTCTGGAAAAAGTGCTTCAGTCAGAATCAAGCTTCTATTATGTACTTATTGTACCTCATAATTTAGATTTATGAGGAAAAAACAACCTTGTTTTTAGCTACAGAAATATAGATGCTAAGATCTAATGAATTGGGTTGAGGTAAGGCTATAATTCAATTGTTCTTGCTCCTTATAATGTTATTAGTCCTCATAATGCTATTAGCGTTTAGGTGTACGTAATCATATTATTCACCATGTTCATCATCTAGCTAAAAGAACCACAGGCAATTTTTCACTCCAGATGTTCATCAGGGCCCCTCGACCTATTTAAAACATTCCACATTGAAGGGAAAGAAGAGCCTAAGAACTAATCTTCATAATTTTGGTTAGAGATGCATAACAAACATTCATCTGATTTTTCTCCAGCCTAATAGAATCCATCAATTGGGTGAATGGTAGACTTCTAGGGAATTGGTATTTGCTGCAGAATTGTTCCATTTCTCCAACTATCATTGTCTGAGTTCTCCAAGCCAGAAAAGAGGAAAAGAAGCCCCCTGTCATAAAAGACAAACCTCTTTTCTAATTTTTGATTTTAAAACTAAATCTGTTAAGCTTCCATTTTACAGTATAAATCTGTATGAAGAGCTGAGATCACGGTGTAAGATTAGTTTGGCCTGAGATCTTGGAAAACTTCAGCTCTATAAACAGTTATAGGGCTTGGTGGCGCAGTGGTTAGAATGCAGTATTGCAGGCTAATTCTGATGACTGCCGTCTGACAGCAATTTGGCAGTTCGAGTCTCACCGGCTCAAGGTTGACTCAGTCTTCCATCCTTCCGAGGTCGGTAAAATGAGGACCCAGATTATTGGGGGCAATACGCTGACTCTATAAACCACTTAGAGAGGGCTGTAAAGCATTGTATATAAGTCTAAGTGCTATTGCTATTATTTAAAATTAAAGTGTGCAAACATAGTTTATAGTGACCCTAGGCATGGAATGCCCGATGATCCTAGGGATGGAATGGTTAAAGAAATGGAACCCCTGGGTAAATTGGAGGACGGCAGAAATCAATTTCTCAGAAGGGGATCCTATGGACTTAAAACCCCAAGGGGATCTACCAAAATTAAGAACGGAAAAAAGCATCCATGGGAGAAGAAAAGGGGCTACCAGAAATACCAGAGGAATACAGAGATTTTGCTGAAGTTTTCAGTGAGGAGAGAGTGGATGAGCTTCCCCCTCACCTACCCACGGACTGTGCCATAGAATTCAAGCCCGGAGCAAAACTCCCAAAACCCAAATTATACTCCATGAGCCCAAAGGAGAAGGAGGAAATGGAAAGATTCATAAAGAAAAACCTAGAAAGGGGGTTCATTGAACCAGCCAAGCCTAAAGTGGCCGCTCCAGTCCTCTTTAGAGAGAAGAAGGATGGCTCTTTATGCTTATACGTGGATTATGGCTCCTAAATACAATCAGTGAAAGCAACCTATACCCCCTACCCCTCATGAAGGACATGTTATCACACCTCTCGAAAGGAATTTTTTTTACTAAACTAGATCTAAGGGAAGCATACTACCGCGTGAGAATTAAGGAAGGGGATGAATGGAAAACTGCATTTAACTGCCCAATGGGGTGCTACCAATTCAAAGTCTTGCCATTTGGATTACAAGAGGGCCCCGCAGTATTTATGCAATTAATCAACGAGGTACTAAGGGAGCACCTATTTAAGGGGGTTCTGGTTTACTAAGACGACAACCTTATCTTCACCGAATCAAAAGAGGAACATGTCAACCTAGTCAGAGCGATTTTAAAGAAACTGCGAGCCACCCACCTATATGCCACACTATCGAAATGCGAATTCCACCAGGAAAGAATAGACTACCTGGTTATCGCATATCCCCACAGGGCATTAAAATGGACCCAGAGAAGGTCAGAGCAGTATTAGAATGGGCACCACCTCGCACAAGAAAGCAACTGCAAAGTTTCCTGGGTTTCGCAAACTTTTACCGCCAATTCATCCCCTCATTTGCCCAGATAGGCCTGCCCCTCACGAACTTACTAAAAACGAAGGGGGCATCCTCAGTAAAACCTAGCCAGCCACTAAAATGGACAATGGAGTGCCAAGCGGCGTTTGAGAGATTAAAGAGACTCTTTTCTGCTGAACCAGTACTGAGGCACCCAGACATGGATAAGCCCTTTGTAATATAGGCGGATGCAAGTGATGTGGCAGTGGGGGCTGTACTATTACAAGAAAACAATGAAGGGGTATTGCAACCCTGCGCGTATACATCCAAGAAACTCACCGAAACGGAACAGCGCTGGCCCGTGTGGGAGAAAGAGGCATATGGGATACGTTGGTCACTACTCACATGGCGCCAGTTCCTTGAAGACAATAAAGTCCCTTTCCAGGTGTGGACAGACCACAAAAATTTGGAAGCCTTGAAAACATCCAGGAAACTCAACCCCAAGCAAGCCCGCTGGTCCCAGCATTTTCACCAATTCCACTTTATGCTCAAGCATTTGCCGGGGGGAAAGAACTTCCTGGCAGATGCACTATCTCGCATGCCCCAATATAACAGCACGCGAGCCACCAACTCTAAACTGATGATGGTAGAATCACAACTGGCAGCGCCAGTAACCACCAGAGCCCAAGCTAAATTAAAACTGCAGCTGGGTAGCCAAACTGGAATTGAATTCCGGAAAAGTTTGGAAACAGATGAATGGTTCCAGAAAAATAAACACGTGTGCACAATGAAAGACGGGCTGCCTTGGGTGGGGGAAAAGTTATATATATCAACAACCCAAAGAGTCACATCCATGCAGCTTTGCCACGACACAAAATCAGCAGGGCATTTTGGATTTGTAAAAACATTACACTTAATTAAATGGCAATTTTGGTGGCCATCCATGAAAAAGGACATAGAAAGTTACGTGGCCAGCTGCCCAAAGTGTGCAACTGCCAAGACGTTGCAAGGGAAATTGCCCGGACTGTTACAAACAGTGGCAAATCCCTCAGCCCCCTGGAGGGAAATAGCCATGGATTTTATAGTGGAATTACCAGAAAGCAATGGAAACACTGTCATCTGGACAGTCACGGACTTGTTTTCCAAACAGGTGCACTTTATCCCTTGCCAAAAGATTCCCACCGCAAAAGCTTTAGCAAAACTTTTCGTGCAGCATATTTACAGATTGCATGGGGTACCCCAACGCATTATATCTGATAGGGGAGTGCAATTTACGTCTGCATTTTGGAAGGAATTTTTATCCCTTTTAGGGACCACTCAGGGACTGACATCTAGCCATCACCCTCAGGCAAATGGTCAGTCGGAAAAATCGAACTCAGTACTTGAGCAATATTTAAGATGCTTTCTTAATTTCCAGCAGTCGGATTGGACAGACCTACTCCCTTTCGCAGAAGTGGCCTACAATAATGCAGTCCACTCCAGCACAGGTTACACTCCTTTTCAAATAGCTACCGGTCAAAGTTTCAACCCCATGCCAGAACTAACCCCAAACGAATCGGCAATCCCATCACTGAAAGAATGGATGGAACAATTACAAAACACCTGGCCAATAGTTAGAAAAGCCCTAGATGAAGCTAGGCAAGCATACAAAGCACAAGCAGATAAAAAAAAGGGTTGAACCTACACCATTCATTATAGGAGAAATGGTGTACTTATCTACAAAATACCTAAAATCCCTACAACCCTGTAAAAAACTTGGACCAAAATATATAGGGCCTTTTCCAATTAAAAGAATCATAAACCCAGTAACAGTAGAATTAGAATTACCCAAAAATCTTAGGCAAATACACCCAATTTTCCACTGCAGTTTGCTGAAAAGAGAACATCAGTCACCCTTACGGCCAAAAATCCCCACCACCACCACCTCCAATCATGGTGGAAGGAGAACAACACTTCGAGATAAAGGAAATCCTAGACTCTAGGAGATATCATGGGACAACTCAATACCTAGTAGCATGGAAACACCTCCCCGCCTCACAAAACGAGTGGGTCCATAAACGTCATGTCAGAGCCCCAAAGCTATTAAAGAAGTTTCATACAGAGTATCCTAACAAGCCAGACTAACTTTTATACCTGTTTTGTTTTCTTTACAGGTGGATCTCTCTTATTTCTAAGGGGGGCAGGATGTCAGAATCCAATTATATTTCATTTCTATCTACCTACTCTGATATAAAACCAATTCTTACTCTCTTCTGGGTTCTGTTATACTGCGGAAGGGGAAGAGGGTAAGCATGAGGGTTTTATGACTCTCACTTCCTTCATTAACTACACAGTGACCGGTTGTTGATTCTCTTTGAGAGGACTAACCTTAACAATGCGGCCATCGCCTTTCATTCTACTCCCTCTGAAGTTCTCCCCTTTGCCGGCAGTGAGGGAAAAGGGGGGGAATGCAACGCCTGGGATCTGGGAAAAAAGAGAATGGGTGATCGTGCCGATGGAGCGGACTGACGGATTGAATCGCCCGGAAGAACTGTGGGGTGGGGGCTGCTTGGGAACACTTTAAAACATTGAATGGTGGGAGAGGATCCCCCAGATCCTGTCTAGCATGCCTGCAATCAGTTTCTCTTAATAAAGATTCCTGTTGGAAGAGACATTCCAAGAGTTCTGTCTTCTTAAGAAGTAAATTGAGGTGGGTCCTTACATTTCCAGTAATATCAGCTAAATATCAAAGGTTGTTTATTGGTGTTTGTAGAGCAAGACTTCTATACAAAGCTGCCTTGTTACTTGACAAGTTAGCATGTTATTTCTATCCTGCAAAGGAGGGATCTTAATTCAGAGATCATGTACAAAAAACAAAATTGGAAGTGCTGGGAAATACATTTAAATATATATATTCAGTATATGCAGCCTTTCCCCTTGACAGTTATTTAATGGCTACATTCTGTTATTGTTAATTAGTATTATAGAGTTCCAGCATTTTCCAAAATGTTTCTTTTCATTTAGTAAAATTGTGATCTTTAGTCCATCAAGGTTATGAGAGTTGATATTGCTCTATATTTACTTATTTCTCCTTTAACTGCTAAGAAGAAGTGTGGTGGTGGGCTCTGTCCTTTGCTATCTTCTTTCTTCCCAGGTACTTGAACTGAACAAACGCATCTCTGTTATTGAAAGTATGCTCAGCCGCCTTGAGAAAAAGATCCTAGTTCACTCTGAGAAGGTAAATCTAGAACAGAGTTATACATACGTCCAGGTTGCCATTTACTCAGCTATGTTCAATCAGCCTGATCAGACATTCTGGGCTGCTCTTTAATAGACCTAGAGGCCAGGTTGCTCTTTATTCCTAGTAGTGCTTCAGCACCTTGCCTACTTAATTAGTGCAAAAGCCTCAAGGCAATTGTCTGGTTCCATCTTCCTCTGAAGAGTCCCAGGGCCAACATTCCTCAGTGCTGCTCCCAGGCTTAACTAATTCTTTCAAAAAAATTGGGAGTTCATTTTTTAAACTGGAAAAATAAGAAGTTTTTCTAGTATAAATAGAACACATCACCAAGGGTGGAGGCAAGAGATTCCAAGTGTAAACAGGTGCTTAAGCCATTAAGATTTTCTGGATTTTTCATTTAAAGTAGATGATAGAGAAATACTGTACATTATTGTACAGTATTACTGTACAGTAACATTGTGTTATTTCTGCTATTCATAGGAATGGATGTCTAAATATCTTGTGTAGTTAAGACAGTAATCCAAACAGTCATGGAGGGTAAATTGATTAGTTAATTCCTACCACATGATGAGATTTAGGTTTCCTTAAACCCATGTTAAAAAGATACACATCTGTTTACTCATATGTCAATATTGACTTAGAATAAGCCAGTTAGAACAGAGGACCCCAACCTTTTGAGCACGAGGGACCAGTTCTGTGGAGAAAGGTTTTTCCATGAACCAAAGAGTGCGTGGTGTTGTGTGCTTCCTGCATCCCATGGATGGGGCTTTGCTTGTTTGTGCGGACCAGTTGCTGGCATGCCGCAGACCAGTACCTATCTACAGACTGGGGGTTGGGGACCCCTGAGTTAGAATATATGATTGATAATGACTTGCTTTTATTTTACTAGCCTCTAGCTATTGAATACTACATTGATCGTACCACAGAAGAGAAGGAACTGAAGAGAAAATTAGAAGAATTGACAAGTAGCATAACTAAAAAAGCTGCTTCTACTGATGAAGAAAATGCAGGAAAGAAGACTGAAGAATCCAAACCAGAAATGGACTCATCTAATGAAGACCTTCCTCCTGATGCTAAGAAGGTATTGTCCTCTGTTTCATATGGTGGTCTTTATCTTCCTTTCACAAAGCTCTGCTCAGGCAAGCACTATGTAATGTGACCTATTTTCCTGTAAAATCCCACTCTTGACACCTCATCGACAAAGGCATCTATCTATGTGTTCAGTAAGGATGTGTGGACCAAAAAAACAGGAAGACCTCCATTTATAGTTTAAAAAGATAACATTGGAATTTGAAAAGACATATTGTGAAGGGGTTTTTTTTTGATACAGATATCCTTGCTGAACATAGGGCTCTTTTTGTAGATTAAATTTCACAAGCTTAACTTCGAGGAATAGGGCTCAATCCTATTGTGTATATGGTTGATGTTAAGCCTTTTTGTAATGTGTTTGAGTTTATGTGTTTTGCTTGAAGTGTAACCAGCTTGCTTTCATTGTATAATTCAGCTAACTGTGATAATCCGAGTGTGGACTACTTATAATGTTACTAATAACAATTGAAAAAAATCCATTTTATTTTTATTTGTTATAATAAATTTTATTAAAAGTTTTAAAGAACATAAAAATTAACAAACTAATGCAAAATAGAACAAAGAAAGTAAGAAAAAAGAAGAAAAATGGGAAAACAAAAATGCAGTGAGAAAGAATAAAAAAACAAAAATAAGCTTCCAGTTTCCTCTGCTGTGAATATGTTTGATTACAAAATTATATTTTAGTCTACGGTTACAAAAAAGCTCCTTTTTTCTATTATCCACTTTTTCCAGTCAGTAAAACCACAAGTCATACGTGCATTTTTTCTGCAAATAGTCTATAGGGGTTTTTCATTCAATCATAGATGTAGAGAATGTCTTTTTCTATCAAGGAAGTTAATTTAGCCATCTTTGCAAACTCCATCAACTTAACCAACCTTGAGAACTTTCTAGTACATCACAGTAAGTTAGCCATTAATGTTTACTTATCATTTCTCTTCTATAAAATGCTTCTTAAACTGAGAACCACAAACATGTTTCGGGGCAAAACCTAAATTTGCATTTATTCCTACCTGACATGATTTTTATCTACATTTACCTTAGCTTTGTCATAATAATAATAATAATAATAATAATAATAATAATAATAATAATAATAATAATAATAATAATAATAATAATAATAATAATGAAGTTGGAAGGGACCTTGGAGGTCATCAAGTCCAACCCCCTGCTCAGGCAGGAACCTTACACCATTTCAGACAAATGGCTATCCAGTCTCTTCAATTTTTGAAGGTCACAACCTCGTAAGTGGCGAAGACCTCCGTCCAACAAGGTAACCAATTAACAAGATTGACAGTCCTTCAAAGAGGAATCAAGATTCAACGAAGAGAGGAACTAGTCAAAGGTAGGCAACGAAGAGTAGGACGGAAGTCCGCGGAACCTCTTATCGAACTGAGGGAGAAGAAACAGGCAGCCCCTGAAATATTGGAACACTGCTATCATGTCCCCCCTCGTCCTTCTCTTCATTAAACTAGACATACCCAATTCCAGCAACCGTTCCTTATATGTTTTAGCCTCCAGTCCCCTAATCATCTTTGTTGCTATTTGCTCTTCTCTGTACTCTTTCTAGAGTCTCAGCATCTTTTTTACATCGTGGTGACCAAAACTGGATGCAGTATTCCAAGTGTGGCCTTACTAAGGCATTGTAAAATGGTATTAATACTTCACGTGATCTTGATTCTATCCCTCTGTTAATACAGCCCAGCACTGTGTTGGCTTTTTTGGCAGCTGCAGCACACTGCTGGCTCATATTTAAGTGATTGTCCACTAGGACTCCGAGATCCCTCTCACAGTTACTACTATTGAGCAAGGTACCCCCTATACTATACCTGTACATTTGGTTTTTCTTGCCTAAATGTAGAACCTTACTTTTTTCACCATTGAATTTCAGTTTGTTAGATAGCGCCCAGTGTTCAAGTCTGTCCAGGTCCTCCTGTATCTTAAGCCTGTCTTCTGGAGTGTTGGCTATTCCTGCCAGCTTAGTGTCATCCGCAAATTTGATGAATTCCCCATCTATCCCCTCATCCAAATCATTGATGAAGATGTTGAAGAGCACTGGGCCTAGAACAGAGCCCTGGGGCACCCCACTACACACTTTCCTCCATGTAGATGCGGTTCCATTGAGGACCACACGCTGAGTACAGCCGGTCAGCCACCTACGAATCCATCTGGTGGTGATGCTGTCTAACCCACATTTTTCTATCTTATCGAGTAGTAGGTTGTGATCTACTTTATCAAATGCCTTACTGAAGTCCAAGTAAATTATATCCACAGCATTCCTCTGATCCACTAATTTTGTCACTTGGTCAAAGAATGCAATAAAGTTTGTCTGGCATGATCTGTTTTTGACAAACCCATGTTGGCTTTTAGTAATGACTTTGTTTGCCTCTAGGTGTTCACTGATTCGTTGTTTGATTATCTTTTCCAGAATCTTCCCAGGTATTGAGGTCAGGCTGATAGGTCTGTAATTTCCTGGATCCATTTTTTTCCTTTTTTGAAGATGGGAACTACATCAGCTCTTTTCCAGTCCTCTGGTAGTTCCCCAGTGCTCCAAGATCTTTGAAAAATATAGTTCAGTGGTTCTGAGATCACATCTGCNGGTGTAATCCATCTGGTCCTGGTGATTTGAACTCGTCTAGGCTGGACAGGTGCTCACTTATCATTTTCTTGCCTATCTTAACTTGTGTTTCTATACTGTTTTTATGGCACTATTTTTGATAGGTTGGTCTGTTTTTTCCCTTTGTGTAAAGACAGATGCAAAAAACGAGTTAAATAGTTCTGCTTTCTCCCTATTGCTAGTCACCTTCTTACCACTTTCACCCACTAATGGACCAATCGTTTCCTTCAATTTTTTCTTGTTTTTTACATGTTGAAAGAAGCTTTTTTTGCCACTAAAATCTTAGATCATGCCCTTCTAACTCCAATAACCTTCTATTTCTTAGTACATACTCCTTTATCCAAACTAGACATCAGATAGCAAAATATAATTTCAAACCTGGTAGACCCATTTTCCTTTGTATCTGTATGTATGTGCTTTAAATTTAACGTTAGTTTTCCCACCCGCCATACAAATTTCCCCAACAATGACAATTGTAATTGGTCCCATCTTGACATATGTTTTTTTAACTTTATTCAGTGCTTAACATAGTTATTTTGAACTAACATACAATTCATATTTGTCATAGTTATACTCAGATATTTTATCTTCTTCTAAATCTTAAAAATCCATTTTATTAATTCTATTTAATCTTGTATCTTCATATTTTTGTTACCTTCTTTGGCTTCAGTTTATTAATCTTGATACCAACCAATGCCCCAAATTCCTCTAGCTTTCTCATTAAAAGTTTAATTCGTTTTAAAGAGTCTTCCAAAATAAGAACCAATTCATCCACAAAATTTCTCGTATGACTCTTTTTACAGCTTTATGCCTATAATCCTCTCGTTTCTGTCTCTATTCAATATTTCAAGAACTAAAATAAAAGAGATCATGGGCAACCATGTCTTGTTCCATTTTGGATCTCACGTGGTTTGGATAAATCTACAATAATTATTTCTGCCATCTGTGAAGTATTAATCAATGTTACCCATTTTATAAATAATTCACAACTTCCAAAACCTTAAACAAAAAAGTCCAGTTCATATTGTCAAAAGCTTTTTCTACATCTAGAAAGATCAATGCTGCTTCTTTGTGATTAGGTTTTCTGCTTGAGCAGGAGGTTGGACCTCCAAGGCCCCTTCCAAAATATCCAACACAGTTCTGATATTATCTTTTTAAAGCCTTTTAGATAAAAACCCACACTGATCCTCATGAATTAATTCTTGCAAAATTATTTTCAGTCTTTCAAGTAAAATTGTTCTAAACAAGTTATACTCATTATTCAGTAATGATATTGGTCTGTAATTACTTGCTAAAGTCAAACCTTGTCCTTCTATAGCAAACTGCCGGCCCACGGGCCGGACGCATCATCCGGAAGCCGTGCCCACCCCATTGCTGGCAATGGCAAAACCATCCCGATACATTGTGCGACGTCACGTGATGTAGTGAGTTTGACATGTCTGTTCTATAGGTATTAATTTTACATTAACATTTTTCCAAGTTTGTGGCATTTTTCCTCCTCCTTAAAATTCATCATATTTGTAAAGGTGGTAAACGCATTCTCAAAGCATTAACAATAGAAGTTCGATAGTCTATCTGGTCCAGGTACCTTTACTGGTTTACTCTTTTTTAATTGCTTCTGAAATTTCCCTTATCATTATAGGTTCATTCATAATTTGTGTTTTGTTCATCTATAATCCTCATTATGTTTTCTCAAATATTCACCAATTTTGTCCAATGGAATATCATGCCCCTTATACAAATTAGAATAATATTGACAAAATGTTTTTCGTATTGTAACTTTGTTCATTAATACAGTATCGCCCTTTTACAATTTTTAATATCATTTTCTTTTTGCAATTTATAAGCCAACAAATTCCTGGTTTATTCACAAATTCAAAATCTTTTTGCTAGGCATAGTTCGATTTTATTTGCATTTCTCTTATTGTTAACATACATACTTATTGCTATAATCTTGATTTGTTGGGAGATACTTTTATTTCCTGGAGAATTTATTAATTATTTTCTTTTAATCTCATCTAAAGTATTTTATATATTTTCTTGCCTCTTTTTAAGTTAAGAATTACGTTGTATCAGATAATCTCCTATAAAGCTTTGCTTACATCCCAAACAATTCTTTATTTAAATTATTTTCCAAAAACTTTCCAAAAATTATTCTTAGTTTATTTTCTTTTTACATTCCTCAGTACTTTCATCTTTCTGTCACATCACATTATTTAGTCTCCATCTGAATCTATTTTCTTTTGCAAACCAGACTTCAAGATTATGGTCTGAAAAGGTCTTTTGTAAAATCTCTACCTTAGAAATTTTAGAAACCAAATCTAAATCATATCCATTGTTAAAAAATATTTATGTCTTGTTGCAAAATAGGTTATTCTTTTGAGCTACCATTCTTCTGTCTGCATACATCAACCGTCACTAAATTAAATAAACCTTTTGGTAATTGACTCTGAGTAATTTTAATATTTTTCTCAGAAATCATCTCCAGTAGAGGAAAAACCACATCATTCCAATCCCCCAACAAACACCAACTTTCATAAAAAAAAAATCAGTTAATCTTTCCATCTGTTGTTTATAGAAAGTCACTTTATCCTCTTTGAGGCATAAACTCCCAACACCATAGTTTTACTCCCACATAAATTAACTTCTGCCTTAACAAATCTCCCATGTTAATCAGTTAGC